ATATCTTTAAATTTAGTCTTTGAAAATCTGCTACATTTATACAATGCATTTTGATCTACCACCAACTCTGCCTAGTGCTGTCCAACCTGTCTTTCCCCCAGTTTCATGTCATTTGTTATTAAATAACCCCAGTCATCTAGAACTGAGCTTGAGGCTTTCTTCCTACCCTCTAACTTTTATAGTCCTGGAAGTTATTCTATAGGCTACTAGAGGAGAACAGGCATCAACGGTCATACCCAGCTGCAAACTCTTTGAACCCACTGGTGTAATAGTGGCACAATGGTTAGGGGAGTAACTAATCATTCTCTGGCTGTATTTGAGGCCTGATACACAAGGATGAATTCATACCTCTACTGAAACCTGGTCAAAAATCTATGACTGAGGAAGTCAGGACCCAGGCGTGAACTTAATACTGTTGTTTGGCTAAATGGTTATGGTACCAAGTTGCCTTCTAAAAATTTAATTGAAGGCATTATAGATAAATGTTATTTTCAGCCTTAAACAGAGAAGCTTCTCTGCAATGAATGACAGTGTATTTCAATGAATGAGATTGTGTAGGCAGATACTCAGGGTGGCTCAAGGTTTTGAGAATAAGTGACAGTTGAGTACTCAGCCCTACACTGGACATTTACACCAACACTTCCAAAGCTTAGGGATTGTTGTAGAAGACTAAGTAGAAAGAATGTAAGAGCTAGAAGATAAGGAGAAGGGCTGTGAAATTCTTACCTCTAGGCATGGCACAGCCCAAGTAGTCATAACTTTATAACAATTATCTTTGCCCGCAGTGGTCATATAAATACTGGATCTATCAACAGTTAATAACGAATTAGGAGGGACTCAAGGCCCTGTCCTCCTGGATGAACTATTGGTTACTGATGGTTTCTGTTGGAGAGGCCGTCATTCATGTGTGTACCACTGAGGCTCCCACTAGTAAATACTTACAAACCCTAGTTAATATCTGAGTCTCAAAAACAAAAAACAAAAAACAAAGACATGACTATGGGAGAGGGACTTGGGGGAGAAGGGGATTTAGAAGTGGGAGGGAGACTAGAGGCCAATAGGTGAAGTGACCAGAAAGGATTTTATACATGTATAAAATTGTCAAAGAAAACTCTCAAAAAAAGTAATAGAGAGAAAATGGGAACAAACACTGAAAAAAAAATGATACCATGTTCTGTGAAATAACTGAACAGAAAAACAGTTATATTGTCTCTGTTCCCAGTTCTACTTTAAAATCATTCCTTTTAAGTATATGAACCAGTTTTTTTTAAAGATGTTTAAGAAGTTTGAGGACTTTATCTAGTAACATTTTCAGAAGTGAGTGATTCTAACAAACTTACAAACATCCTTTGGTAAGTTCTGTATCTTGTCCAAAAGGAAGAAAGTCAGAACTAAAAAAAAAACCCTAAACATCAAGAAAACAAATAACCTAATTAAAAAATGGGGTACAGAACTAAGCAGAGAGTTCTCATAAGATGAAACACAAATGTCTGAGAAATGTTCAACATACTTAGCCACTAGGAAAGTGCAAATTAAAACTACTTTGAGATTTTTATCTTACTCCAGTCAGAATGGCCAAGGTCAATAAAATAAATGACCTCATATTCTGGCAAGGTTATAGGGAAAGGGAAACACTTACTCACTGCTGGTGGGGTTGCAAACTTGTACAGCCATGTGGAAATCAGTGTGGTAGTTCCTTAGGAAGGTAAAAATAGATCTATCTCAAGATCCAGCTGTACTACTCTTGGGCATATACCCAAAGGACTCTACATCCTACTACAGAGACTCTTGTTGCTGATCTATTCATAAGATCCAGAAATTGGAAAGAGCCTAGATGTCCATCAACTGATGAATGAATATTGAAAATGTGGTACATTTACAGAAATAAATATTATTCAGATGCCAAGGAAAATGAAATTTGCAGGTAAAGATTGAGCTAGAAAAAATAATCTTGATTGAGCTAACCCAGAGTCCAAAAGACAAATATTGTATGTTTTATCTCATATGTGGGTGTTACCTTTCAGCTTTCAAAATATGTGCTACAATCTGAATAACCACAGAGATCAGGTACCTGGTAAGAGACCAGGAAGAAGGAGAGGTTCTTCCAAAGAGGGGGGAAATAGAGTGTAGTGTTATGGAGAGATAGAAGGGAAACTAGAATAGGAGGATTAAACAGGGAGGGAGATAGAAGGGTAAAAAAGGGAATATGGAGAGTGACAACACTAACATTTGAAACACAATATGGAAATCTACCATAAGAGTTCTTAAAATAGGTACCTATATAGAAGAAATCTAAATGAGTCACCAAATAACAGGAGTGACAGTGCCTCAAATAGATATCTTATGTCACCAGATAAATCCTCCAGTACCAGAAATGTATTTCATCTTTTTGAGTCACTGAAAAAGAGCTGGTGCCCAGCTAGAAGCTTCACACCTATTAAGTAGCTTTCTTGGTACTAGAAGATACTGTGAACAGAGGAGAAGGTAATCATCAATGTCATCCAGCTACAAATTCTGTGACCTGTCTACAGCTACAAATCCTGTAACCTGTCTACAGCATATGTTGTGCAATAGCGGCACAAGTGTTATGGGAGTAACCAACCACTCTTCTTTTTTTTTTTTTAAATTGGATTTAAAGCCTACTCTATGAGATATATAGAACCTCAGACTAGATTGGTCATGGGCTTAGGGAAATACCTACTATTGCTCTGCTAAAGGAACACAGTAATGAATGACTCCTAATTACATACTGCTATACCCACAGATCAGTGCTTCATTCAGCCCACATCAGAGAAGTTTCTTCTTTCAGTAGATGGGAATTAACACAGAAACCCACAACTGAACATGTACAGAGAATAACAGACTTTGGAACACTCAGTCCTAAATGGGATGTCTTCATCAAACCTCTCCCCTCAAGGCTCTGGGATTTATGTGGAAGAGGAGGTAGAAAGATTTTAAGAACCAGAGGTAGTAGATGACTCCAAGGAAACAGTGTTTCCTTGTTCATATGTACTGATGCACATATGAACTCACAGAGACTGTGGCAACATATAGAAACCTGCACAGATTCAAGGGTTCCAGCACTGAAAAAGGATAGTGGACGTGGGTTCTCACCACAACCCAAAAGCTATCTGCAACCAATACCCACTGTCAAAAGGAAAACCAGTGTTCTCTAGTGTAGTCTTACTTGGTTTGTGAACCGCATTCAAGGAAAGACCCCATGACCAGGAATAGTTGGCTAACACAAACCAATTCCATGGTTTTGGTGCAGGCTCTTTTGTTTCATTTTGGTTTTGTTTTGCTTTGGCATTTTTTTTGTCTTACTGATTTTTTTGTTTTTTTTCTGATTTTCATTTTGTGATTATTTTTGAAAGAGCATGAAGTTGGGTGGGTAGTGAGGTAGGGAACTGGGAAGGATCTGGGAGGATTTGGGGAGGGAAAACATCAAAATATATTGTATGAAAGAAGTTTTTTAAATAAAGAGAAAAAAATGAAAATCAATACAATGAAGGAGTGATAGAGATGCACATTTTATTGACAATTAACTTCCTACTCACTGGCTGGTTTCTTTTTGTACCTGCTGACTTCACATCCAGACAATGAATTGTTCAGCCCTCAGAGAGAGAAAAACCTTCATTGTTTTCTCAGCTATGAAGGGCTGTCAGTGGTTGAGGGAGAGATAATGAGAGAAATGTCTTCTGGATTACAACTCCCATGAGTAGACCTGATTAGAAAGATTTAGTTTATCCTTCTTCCATCAGATTGTGGGGCTACCTCAAGTTGCAACAGGAAGATAAGCTCTTTCTTGAGGAACATACAGATATACTATTACTATGGAGCCAATGAAGGAACTTTTTGTAGGGCCACCCATGAAGTTTTTATTGAAGAGCAGAAATTTGTCTCCAAATACTCAGATACTTAAATTCATTAGCCATTTCCAGACTCCCATGATCAACAGGAAATATTGTACTAGAGTCAGGACTACACCATACAACTCAGGACTAAGGTGAAATGAAATTTGAATAGTTTTTCTCCTGATTTAATATAGAGGGATGAAGTATAGATAGGTTAAATAGAGATACGAGACTGAGAATATTCAAGAATAGCCCTGAGGCAGTAGTTCCTAACTCTGTGACCCTTTAATACAGTTCCTCATCTTGTGGTGATCCCAACCATAAAATTATTTTGTTGCTACTTCATAACTGTGATTTTGCTACTTTATTAATTGTATTATAAATATCTGACATGTAGGATTTCTGATCTACAACCACCAAGAAATCGTGACCCACAGGTTGAGAACCACTGTCCTAATGGGTAGAGGTGACAGACAAAAACAACATGAGAGAGGAATTGTGTGTGTGCGCACATGCTCCTGCATGCATTTGCAATGTGTGTGTTTTAAGTGACTGTTTTATAGGCATATTTAATTCCAAACATCTGAGTCCACAAAGCATTTCCAAGCAATGGTGGAAGACTTTGATAGTTTGAATGGAAAAAATATTCAATCTAATTGTGACTAATTAAAATAGAACATACTGAATTCTTAAATAAAACCATCTATCTTGGTTTGAACTTGCAGGTCCTTGCTAAACACAAAGGGTTGCAATGGGATAAAGTCCTGCGACTAGAAGAAGTACAAACCCAACTAGGGATAAGTCTGGAAGAAATGCTGTTGGTCACAGAGGATGCCCTTCATGCTGAACCCTATAGCAGGGAGGAGATCTGCAGGTGCCTGGGAATTAGCCTGGAGGAACTCTGCACCCAAATCCTGAGTCCAAATACTCAAGATGGTGAGTCGACTGGAAAGAGAATGGCATGGCCCATTTGCCACACACAGATGGAAGGTTTCAAACTTCTCCGTGGATATTATGGATTTAAAATTGTGTTTTAAGGAATTTGGAGAATGTGTGTGCTTTGGCTAACTGGGTTGTCTAGGTCTTTAGCTTCCTGCCGACTCACTTATCAGCAAACATTTCTAGTGTATAGCAGGTGTTCTGTGCCTCAGGAGACTCTCCGCTCTTTAATTCCCTCCTTTTGTGTTTATTCTTCCCTATTCACTTTCCAGTTATATTATTAATATAAAAATTAGGTTACAGCATTACTTGTAACTGCTCTAATATTACTCTGGAACATCAAGAAGGTCTTCACTGCTTCTGTTGAAGTTTGCAGCCTGCAAAATGCAAAAATGTCAGGTTATTAGTATTTTTGACTGGTTGTCTTTGAACACTGCTGTTTTATCTAATGGTATCAGGAACAGATGAGGATGGGGTACATTTTAGAAGGCTGTCATGAAGTCTTGGGGTGGCTGTTTCTCTTAGAAGGAAAATGTTTCTATTTGTGGGAACCTGGATATCGAATTGAGATTTAATTTCCTGCGAGGAGAAGTTAGGGAGGCAAGAACTTGGTGCAGATATCAACCTTGGAGTCCCATTGTACTGTGCCTATGGAATTCTGATTCTATCTATCTATCTATCTATCTATCTATCTATCTATCTATCTATCTATCTTTGTGGTACAGGGATCAAATCCAGGGCTTCATGCATGCTAGTAAGTGCTACATCATTAAGCTACATCCCCAGCCCCTTTTCAGTGTTTTGAGACGGGATTTTATTAAGTTGCCCAAACAGGCCTTGAACTCACCATGTAATCCAAGCTGTTTTATATAGTATTTAGGATTCTCAGCTCCAGTCTCCAGATATCAGATTATAGGCCTGTGCTATAAGACCTGGATCCAAAATAGTGTCTTAAGGCTGCAACTGATGGCAACTTTGGGACAAGATAAGGGATACTTTGAGAGCAGGAGCTAAGTTTTGGTTTCTAACATTCTTGTATCTATTTCATTTGAAGCTCAGATATAGTCTCTAGAAGTGGGTGAGCATACTTGACTGCTAGCCAAAGGAAGCCTACCACCTATTTTCGTAAGAAGTTTTTGCTGGACCACAGTGATTTATTTGCTATGGTTCTTTGGTTCTATAAGAGCTGAGTGTGACAGAGACTGAGTTACCCACAAAATCTGAGCTATCTCCTATTTGGCCCTTTGCAGGAAAAGCTTGCTGAGTCTTACTCCAGAAAGGCAGTTGACTCATGTTTTCTCCATTTTGCCATGAAAAGAGGCACAATGGGAGGCCCTCCCTTAGAGGAGCAACTGTGCAATGTGCATGAACAGAGCTCAGTGCTGGGGAGATGAGTGTGGTCATTGAGGTCCACTTGGGAGACCAGAAAGGAGAAGTCTTATTGGCTTTCCTAAGGATGGATCAGCTACCGCGGGTTGAAGAGCAGATGAATTCCAGGCAGACAGGATGGCAGGTACAGGGCAGAGGCATGAAGAGGGCGCCATAGCAGAGCAGTGCAGATAGCAGAGTGTCTTTAGAACTAACACCTGCAGTGGACCGTGCTGTGCTGGGAGGCAGAAGCTGTGGACAAACCCAGCTCACCAAAACCTTCAGAAACGTGCTGTGCATGTGTGTGCTTCCTAGGTGTGTGTTCTCTCATATATGGAATCTAGATTTATAATGTATGTGACACTAAAGCAGAAGTGAGGCTTTTTAAGGGGAGGAAAGGAACCAACAGGATGATGGATAGGAGAGGGCAATGAGGGGTTGCTATGAACAAACCACAATGATACACGTGTAGGAAAATGTTGTAATGTAACTCATTATTGTGCACATTAATTAAAATTAAAGTTTGTTAAATCAAGAAATTGAATAGAACGTTGGAAGGGGGGCATCCAGTGTGTCTGACTTTCTTTTTTGACCTAAAACATTGTCTAATTTAACTTGTCAGACAGGCTGGTGTAAGTAGAGTGACGTCTTTACCTCCCAGTGACTCAGTGTCTCAAAGGGATAAGTGCTGGAAAGTACTGGCTAGAATCAGGGTGTTTATCAAGAGCCCAGGGAGCCTGGAGGAGATGAGTGGCTTCAGTTCAGAAGGAGGAGACTTGAATTTGAGCTGGTTTCTGTAGGAAAGCTGTGGATTCATAGGCCTGAGAGTGTGCTAGGCCATTGCAGACGAGTGGAGGCTGAATAAAGACAAGGGGGCTCCCGAGGCTGAGTATTGGAGAGAGTGTGTCAGGAGGCAGTGTGAAGGCAATGGCAGCAGATCTGCCAGCATGGATGCCCATTCAGAAGCCAGGTCTCTGCTCTACATTGAACACATAAAGCATTAGGGCGCACTAGGCTCTCAAGACAGCAAAGGAGAATCCAGTCAACACTGCTGAAGGAAGGACAGGAGGGACAGAGGGAGAGAGAGAACAGCAGAAACCCAGGGAGGCAAAGCTAAGGCATGGGCAGCTTGGCAAGTTAGAATATTGTATGAGAAGTAATTTGTGGAGACAAGGTGAATTCATTTCTTTCCATCATTTGTTTTCCTAGTGCCTGAATAAAGATATAGAACAGGTGTATGTCTAAATGAAATAATGTGGTTTGAGAGTCACTGGTGAAAAGGTGAGGGAGTCATAAGTGCTGAGGAGATTCTGTCACCTTGGCAGAATCTTGTTCTTGGCTCAGTCTTTCCATGGTGAACTTCCCTGAAGGTTCAGCGGCCTTGGGGGCTCCCCACTACCCGGCTGCCTCAATATGCTTTATCTCATATTGTAACCTTTGTCTCTTCTGTCATGAGGATAGTGTTGCCTAGACTAGCCCATACCCATACTTCTCATAAGCTAGGTCTTGCCTCAGGCTTATACTCTTAAACAAGACTATTTTTCTTATGGGTATTCCTCTTTTTCTGAAAAGAAATTTTAGCCTTTATGGAAACTCAGTAAATCCATGCTCTCTCTTTAGACATCTCACCTGACCTCAACTATTTCTCTGTATTCGTTTTCTTTTTCTGCATCTACCTGTTGTTCCTCTTCTCCTTCTTTTACCGTTGTTTGGAATCAGTTAATTTCCCAGAACTCCTTGTAAAATACAAAGGAAAATTAATAAGCAATATTACTTAAGAGTTTAAAGTATTCCTCTTAAAGAAAAATATTTTTGTATTTCATTTTATCTCTATCTAAACTAGCTGTCCCACTACCTTTATGTATTCCTTTCTATAATTCTTACTAATATATTACTAATGCTGTTTATACTCATTAAGTCTCTGTCGGATCAATTAATATATTTTGTACTTCTGTTATTCTCAAGGAATTTCTCCTTTATTTACTGATAACATTTTAAAAAATTGGGAACACAAGTTAGCGCATTGATTCTGGATTCATCTAGATTAGTGTTATTTGATTGAATTTCTAAATCTAGTCATCTTGTGATGACTAGTTTTCCAGGTGAGTTTTGGTGTATCCTTCTGAGTTCTTGTTTTCTTTGATCTCAGACTGTGATTAAACATTTTTCTTAACCATTTGGAAGATGGGGCTCTTGTTGAGGTCACTGTACTCAGATTATATTATTGGATGCAAGGGTGATAGCTGCCCCTAGCAGAGAGCTCTTGAGGGTGCCTTACCCTTTCCCAGGGGTGCCTACACATTGACAGGCCTAGTTTTGACTTGAACTAAGTTCCCCAGCAAACTGGCTTGGAGCATCTACTCTCCCAGCCAGACCGCCAAAGGCCCATGCACAATTGTTGTTTTCTTTTCCTAGATTCCTAGTAATTAGATTTAGAAATGCGCAGAGCCATTAAAATTAAGCACACACTCTGAAGGAAAATCCTCAAATCCTTTAGGTGTTTGAAATGGCTTCAGACTAACACTAGGAAGCAATTAGGACTATTTAAGAACTGCTTGCTAGGCACTGAATACTCCAGTGATTGTTTAGGTGTGTGCTTTCATTGTCTGGGGTCGTGGAAGCTCAGAGGCCACACTTACTTAGTTCAGAGGGCGGTTTCCCAGGGCATGATGAAAGAGAAAGAGATGCAAGAAGCTGGGAGCAATGTGCATGGTGCCAAGCATAGGACAGTGGCAATGACACACATCAGGAGACAGAAATTCGCAGAGGAAGTGGGCCCTGAGGTAAGAATGGGCTGCTTAACTTGGAGCTCAGTTTACCAAAAGGATAACTAATGGGGAGCCTTTGTTTTGGGAGTGTCCAGGTTGTGCTCTGGGTTGGTAGGTACTGGTTGAATAGCTTGCATTGTGCTTAACTGGACAAGTTTCATTACTACATGATTAGCTTTGCTTGTGACCATATAAGTCAGGGATGGTAATGCATCTGGAAGTTCCTTTATTGTACAGGGTTGTTTTGGCTATCCTGTTTTTTTTTTTTGTTTTTCCATAATAAGTTGGGTATTGTTCTTTCAAGGTCTGTGAAGAATTGTGCTGGTTTTTTGATGGGACTTGCATTGAATCTGTAGATTGTTTTTGGCAAGATTGCCATTTTTACTATGTTGATCCTGCCTATCCAAGAGCATGGGATATCTTTCCATTTTCTGGTATCTTCTTTAATTTCTTTCTTTAAAGACTCAAAGTTCTTGTTGTAAAGGTCTTTCCCTTGTTTGGTTAGCATTACCCCAAGACATTTTATGTTGTGTGTGGCTATTGTAAAGGATGAAGTTTCTCTGATTTCTTTCTCAGCCCATTTATCATCTATATATAGTAGGGACCTATAGTGAGAAAACATGGATCCTGGTCATAAAACTTGGGAACCAGCATTGTACTGAACCAAGACCTCTGAATGTGGGTGCCAGTTAGGAGGCCTGGGAAATCTATGGGACCTCTAATAGTGGAACCAATATTTATCCCTAGTACACAAATGGGCTTTGGGGGTGGGTCCATTTCCTATGGAAGGATACTATTGCAACCCAGATACACGGAGGAGGGCCTAAGCCCTCCCCCAGGTGATGTGACAAACTTTGATGATCCCCCATGGGGAGTGGGGGGTTCAGTGGGGGCATGAGAGGATGGGAGGGAGAGGGAATGGGGGAGGGCATTGATGTGTAAAATGATTGTTTCTAAATAAAAAAAAATTAATAAAAAAAGAAAGGAATGCATGACACCAAAGAGGTGTGAAGAGGCTAGACCTCTGACCTTACATTCTTGGTGAGCTCCATGGAAGCTGGTGTCTAGGCTGATCCCGAATGAGGAGCAAGGCTTGCAGAATGAGTATGTGGGATACAGATGTTGGGCCTCCTCTCTGGGACTTTGGACAGTGAACAGAACACTTCAGGTCAGTGGGAAATGTGTCACAACCCCTTGTAAGAGGTCACAAAGGACAGCATACCAAGGAGTCTCATTTATTGGACAGTGGAGAATATACAGAATTTCACAGAATAAAATATTCAAGAAAGGAAAACAGCCTTATTAGGAGTGAGAGGAGAGCAGCTGGAAGGTGATACAATGGTCCAGACCGGAGACAGGGAGAATCTGAAGGCTGGAGAATGAAAGGGAGGGAAAGGGCGGCTCTGTCTTGTCATGTTTCAGGGACATCTGTATTGTTAGAGTGTCACATACAGGTCGAGGGTGATGGGAGCAAAAGCTTGAAGGCCAGAGGAGGAAGCCTTATTCCGAAGCTGACAGTGCTGACTCCTGCAGCACTCAGTACATGTGGGTACTGTTACCCTGCGTGTACAAAATGGCAATATGTAAACTATTCACAAATGCCACATGGAATGCAGTTTTCCACAGACTGTGTGGCTTTTCTTGAAGAGGATGTATACTTCATTGGTGGTTTTGCTTTTTAAAAGCAGGTAGTTAAGTATTTTTTTCTCCTTAAATGTAAAATGCTAATTTAATTTAGTCTTTGCAGCATGGGAATGGGGTACTAATGTGACTGAAAACAGCAGTCTATTTTGTGTGGCTTTCACCATTTCGTAAATTTCACATTTATGAAAAATATTATTACTAGGAAAATAAATTTGCAACCACAGTCCAACTTCAATGGGGATTATATAGTGTTTTTCCATTATATGCTTTAGTGGTGCAGAGTCGATGCCTCAGAATAGGGAATCATGACTTTGCTGCATGAGAAACACGGGGCCTGGGGAGGACACTGAAGCAGTTTGCAGCATCTGCCTCTGAGCTTCTGCTCTTGGTAACAAGCAACTGGATAGCCCGTTAGAGCCTTCCACGTTGCAGACAACTCAGCCAGTGGCACATAGCTTCCCGGCCTCTCACCCACACAGGGGAAAGTATTTGGGGGTCTGAGAGTCCCAGAAAGATTAATTGTACACTCATAAGATAAAGATTACTACTTCTCTTAGACCAGCATATTAATTTATTTTGTTGTAATTATCCTGAGATTAAGGCTTCATCTAGGCTAAGGATGATTTCCACAATATTTACTACCTTTTACCTTATCCAGGAAAACATCAGTTTGCATTCTCTGTGTCTCTTGTGCTATATGCAGTTTTCTAATAGGGGACATGAAAAACCCACCACACTGAGAAGGACCAGTTTTCCCTTGTATGGCCTCAGACCCATGCCCAGGACTGCAGTCAATTCTGAAAATGCTATTCAGGAGTAGAGGAACAATGGTAGAACACTTGCCTAATGTGTATGAGGCCCTGGGTTCAACCCCCAGTACTGTATGATAACGAGAGAAAAGATGCACCCATCAGAGTGTCATAAGGATGAGAAGGAGGCTTGAAGTTGAGTCATGTGAGAGAAGCTGCCGTGGCATTCCTTCTGCCAGAGGCAGACAGTAGGTGCTTCTAAGCACCTGAGACCTTGCCCACCTCTGTGGGATCTCTGTTGTCACTGTGGATGCCATCGAGGGTCTTGCCTGAGTGTCAGATTCCACTCTTAGGCTCAGTTGAAACCTGCACATAAGCAAAGGTACTAGGCTCCTCTCCTTGCTGGACTGGAGTCATGCTGGGATTTTTTGACTGTCTAGCACAGGTTATCTGACAAAGTATTTGCAGAGCAGTATCCAGACAGGCTCCTATGGAATGGTAGACAGTGCTTCTCACTGTCTGCCCTGCCTCGTGATCACTGACTGCCATGTTGTACCCAGACAGTATCCTGTGGAATGACGTTAACACTGCATTGTGACCACTGCTCTCTGCTTTACTCACGTTCTAGTAGAGAGTAGGCTATGCAGATAATCCTAAAGATTTTGTGAGCTCACTGATATCTTCATACTGCCCAGACACTTTGAGGCAATGTTAAACCCTCTGAAGACAATAAAGATGGGAGGATCGGGATTTGATGCCTCTCTTCTGGTTCTTTTGTGGTTAATTCTAAGGCACACCTATGGAGTTCTATAATCCACCAAGGGACCGGGCTCCAGCTACTAACATTTTCTTTATTGATGGTTCTCTTTTTCTCGCTCACTGTCCTTACCCTGACTCAAGAGAGCTGTCTCTAACCTAGACTCTGCCTTCAGGTTTACCTAGACCAGGATGCCCACATAAGTTGGTGCCTTCTGTCAGCTGTGAAGAGTGACTTAGCTGTTTTGCCGTTATTATTCTCATTTCATGATTCTTTTCCTCCAGTAGACTCACTTCTTGGGAGTAAAGAGCCTTTCCCTTTCTTTCTGATGGCTCTTCAGTTTTAGAGCTGACATAGTGGATCTATAACAGTGTTCAGGACATAAGACATGAGTTCTGTCTTCACATATTTGAAGGGCTCCATGGTGTTCATGTGTGTCTGGGAATCACAGCTCACCAAAGTTGGAGGAGGACAGAACATTAATCAATACAGAGCTAACAGTGTACCTAGGGGTGGTGAAATTTAGTTGTAAGAGTTATAGTAGCCTATTCTGCCATGATGAACCACTCAAGGAGGAAGGAGGCTTGCCTGCTCCCCCTGCCCCCATCATGCATTTCAGATGCAGAGAGTTTTATGGGACAGGGGTTACACACAAGCCCTTGTAAAGAGTGGGAAGACAGGTACCAACTCCTGACATTTCCTTATTTTTGAATCGATAGGAGATGTCTATGGTTCCACTGCTCCCTACCATCTAATGAGCATGTAGACTGCCTCACTGGTGATAGGTAGGATGATGTTTTCTCATCTTCAGCCAATGGCTAGTGTGCAGGAAGCAGGTTCAGAACAGACAGACAACTTAATTTTTCCAAAAGAAGGAAGAGATCCTGATTCTTGTGTAAAAATTTCTCAATTCAAATATACTGTGTAGGTGAAGAAATCATTACCATGGCTGGTCACAGCCCATGGGTTGATTTTTAGTCTGTGGATTGAGTTCTTCAGAGGATGTTAACACCGCAGATGTGGGGGTGGCTTCCTGGAGAGACTTCTCCAACCTGTAGTCCAGGGTGTCCATCGCTCTCAGGGTGGTTCAGATTGTTCTGTCCTTACATCAGGGAAGCTCTGGTTCATGCTCCTCCTTAAGTGTGTCCCTGTGCTGGTCTCCTTCCCCAGGCTACACACTCAGGTGTTTAAAAGATTTTTGTATTTATCTAATTTATTTCTTTACTTTTGTCTTTTGAGATAGGGATTCTCTGTAGCTTTGGAGCCTGTCCTGGAACTCATTCTGTATACCAGGCAGGCCACAAATTCACAGAGATTCACCAGTCTCTGTCTCCTGAGTGCTGAGGTGAAAGGTGTGTGTCACCACTGCCCACTTCCCAACCTTCTTGTATTTATTTTTAAAGAGTGGTGTGTGTGTGTGTGTGTGTGTGTGTGTGTGTGAGAGAGAGAGAGAGAGAGAGAGAGAGAGAGAGAGAGAGAGAGAGAGAGAGAGAGAGAGAGAGAGAGAGAGAGAGAGAGAGAGAGAGAGAGGAGTGCTGCCTGTGGAAGCCAGAAGATTGCATTGGATCCCCTGGAACTGGAGTTCTTCTGGAAGAGCAGTAAGGGCTTCTATCCACTGAGCAAATTCTCCCGTACCCCCAATCTGCTTCTTTTAAAGGCAGAAAGTAGGCTGTGTGCCTTTGCTACAAAGATTACTCAAAAAAGAAAAGAAAGCTTACTCAAATTATCTGTTTTTTAAAACATCATTTGTTTTAGCAATTTCACATTTATGAAACCAAGTATGACACAAGCCACTATCAGTCACCTGTGATTATGGGTATCAGGGCTCATGTTGGAGACTAGAGTTGACTGGAGTTAACTGCTTGTCTCTACACAGCATATCCACAAATTCCTCTAAATCACCGATAATGTTATTGGTGGATCTTCTCCATGTTTGCTACTGTAACTGTCCCACACTGTTTATTTAGCCTATTTCTAATTGCAGTTCTATGAAAAGGACAAGTAGAGAACCATTTGGCCAGCACTTACCATGTACTAAGTCCTAGTCTACCTGGAGTGACATGTTGAAAAATGAAAAATGAAAAAGGAGAGCTGGTGTTCTGGTTGAAGGAAGTGTGTAAATCTGTCACAACAAAATGGTAAAAATTGGGTAGTGATAAGCATTGAGAAGAAAGCAGAATGAAGAGCATGTTCTTGTAGGGAAGTGACCAATCCATATCTGAACTGAAGGGAAGTTGTCCTTAAAGCTATGATGATACCTGAGTCCAAATGACAAGAAGGGACCACAGTATGAAGATCACAGGGAACACCTCATCAGGACAAGGAAACAGACAAGGCCAGTGTTCTAGGAAAACAGAGGATGAGGGATGGAGTTAGAAGGTAGTCTCAGAGCTAGAAAACAACTTATTGTACAAATGAAAGTTCTTCAATAACCAAATACTCATTTGTGGTTCACTTACCATCAGTTGGTGCTGGAATTTCAGGACTGGATTTCATAACTGAGATAACAGTGTTCAAGACCAACGTGGTTACCACACTTGGAAGCCTTGGTTTCTCCTGGGTAAGAGAATCAATGAGTGGTGCAGGAACCATATGGAGTGTCATAGCTTGAAGGTATGGGCACAGTAAGAAACAGCTCCCTTCATCCTTTAAGGTGATGCCCCTCTTCAGGGTTACAAGACTGAACACATGGGCATCTGTTTCTAAAGCTAACTGACCCAGCATTTTAGATGCTCCTCACTGTTCTGTACAACAGGCTTGATGCACATATGACAAGTTAGAACTTGGACTTCAGAGGGCATTTGTGACACTCAGCCGACAGACAGAGCTGCTCCCTCTAGGAGTGGTCTCTGAGTCTGCTGGAGTCTTGGGCTTGATCATTATGAGTGAAAAAAGATACCCCTCTGCCCCTCTCCTCCCCCTTGATGTTCTCAGCTGCTGATGCTGAGGTGCAGAAGCTGTGACAGTCTCTCCCCCACCTTCAGAGTGCCCTTCTAGAGACACTCCCACTAA